CTACTAACCATAACTCAACTTTCGGATATATAGGTAGTAACCACACTGTTCGTATAATAAAAAAGTTTTCTTTTGTATTTTTAATTCTCCTTTTCTTTTTTTAAATCTCATTGCTGGACGTAGCTCCTTTGTATTATGCTGAAGAATTTGCCATAATTGTCATGCTTGGTACACGAATTTCAGTACCAGAAATCTTGCAATTTGGATGCCGTCGCCATTTTATTTTAAGTATATCTTGCACTTAATAATAATTATTACTATAAACCCCAACCTGCCGGAAGCCAAGAGTTCATTCTGGCATTTTCTACCCCTCTTACGACATGAAGTGGACAAAATGAAGCGATGATATAAATAAAATTATTATATTAAAGCGATGATATAAATTAAATTTTATTTTGCTTGAATTCATTAAAAAAACTGATTAAACTTTCATATCTTTATAAAATGCATCTTTTTATCAAAGAATAATCCTGTTTCAACCGTTGAACACTGAATGGATTGCTGAAAAGGCTGACAAACATTCTTAAGCTTATTCGATGCTTAATTATTTCTACTCATTGTAACGAGCTTAACAACCATATGAAGCCGTTCGTCCGAGGCCTGCAGGCTGATTAAGATGTATAATTTAAAAATATAAACAAATTCATATTTATTAAAAGTAATATTTGTAAGATGTCTGAATAAACTCATAACAAAGATAACATGAAAGAGACAGAAATTTATTGTATTTTTTGAATTATAATAAAGTGGTTATTATGAATATATATAATATATAATAAAATCATATTTTAGTTCATGTATCGATAAATATAAAACCTATTGCCGGCGTCTGATTGGTAGATTAGCGCTATTCAAATTTTGCATATGAATGTAGATTTTTTTTTGTTAAATACACAGTACGATTTCCAACCCTGTGTTGTTGATGACGCTCCCAAGTAGAACCCCAGCAGTGGTGACCCCGACATGATCATGCGTCATGTCACCGTGGACGCGGGCTCCCATAATACTATGCTTGGATATGTTGCGAATGTGCAAGAGGCGAGAGAGGTATGTCAAGACCGTGCCAAATGAAAATCCGCAATCTCTGCCTACCCTATGAGTCACAAGCGCGAGACTATATGTCTGTATATTAATACGATAATTATTGTAAAATATATACATTTCGAGGTCGCAAGTTTGCAAAATTATTAAAAATTAATATAAGTCCATGTAACAAGTATGGTAAACTTTGGAGGACCTTTTATTTATCATAGGTATTAAACAATACCCTAATTACCGTCTAAAGAAAAATTAAATAGATTTTTCATACAAGACAAAAGTAAAACGAAACTAGCGTCAGGACCATATAACGTTAGCCGTTGTACTGCCTCCAGAGAAAGAAAATTTAATTAGATTTATATCTTTCGTAATAGTCCTCGCTAAGCTGGAAAGTTTTGTCTGCTGAAACATTTCAAATGAATAATAGGAACCTTATTTCAAATAAGAACATGTTACTCTTGGATCTGCTCCACTTTACCTTACGTTACGTAAGTGAATAAAACTGTATTTTAAACTGTGTTTTTAATTACGTATATTGTGTATAAAACAGAAGATAATACTAAAATACTAGTAATAAAATACCCTTTGCATTTAAATAACATATTTAAAACTCATAAAATAAGATGAAAATAATTTTTTTTTTCAAAGATAACGACGATGAGCTAAACAGTGATTACAGAACAAAATTGAATATGAAATTAAAAATGTCTTTAATTTCAACTTTTATTTATATTGCTCAGAGAAATTTCTTAGATTTTTATTGATGTTTGATGATACATTAATAATGTTCACGTTGTTTAATAATATTTTTATAAGATGTGACAAATGAGCACACAGTCCACCTGATGGTAAGTGGTTGCTGTGGCTCATAGACATCTACATCTATCCTCGATTACGAATCAAAATGCAGATGCGTTATCACCCGTGAGTACTAAAATTCTCATCGTAATACTTATTTTATGTTATAAATGTGAAAGTATGTTTGCTTGGATCGCTTGAACGGTACGACAAACAGTATAGTTAAAAAGTTAAAGTTACAGCCTATATACGTACCACCACTGAGCACAGCTCCTCTCATAAATCATTTCTGAGAGAATTTTAGGGCATGGAAATGTCAGCCGCGCTACTCCAATGCATACTGAAGAACTTAACATGTCTTCGGTATATTTTTTTCTTATTTCTCAGACATGCTGATTTCCTTGTGATTTTTTATTTCACCGCCGAGCACGTGGTAAATCAGCACTTAAAATTGCTATTAACAATTTAATTGATGCCGGTGGGGATCGAACAAGGGATACTAATTAGCGAGCGCTTAGCGCCTGAGCTACCATGGCTTACTATACAGCAAACAGTATACTTAAGTAAAATAAAGTAAAGTTACAGCCTATATACGTCCCACTGCTGGGCACAGGCCTCCCCTCATTTTTGAAAGGTTTTTAGGTCAAGGAAGTGTCCGCCGCGCTACCCCAATGCGTGTTGGCGAACTTCACATGTCTTCGAAATATTTTTTTCTCTTATTCCTCAGGCATGTAGGTTTCCTCGCGATGTTTCCCTTCACCGCCGAGCACGTGGTAAATCAGCACTTAAAATTACAATTAACAATTTCATTGGTGCCGGCGGGGATCGAAACCGGGTTACTCACGTTCTGTTATATTTACAGCGAGCGTTAACCATCTGAGCTGCCACGGCTCATTTCACACACAACAGTATACTTAATATTATCATAACTCGCGGGCATTAATTTGATTACAGACCCAGAATTAGATGAACGATGAACTAGGATTACATTTTGAGTCTTAGTAAAGTATATTGAAACATTAATTGACACAAAACACAAGTCACTTTTCAAGACAAGAGAAAAGTCGTATTATTAAATTTCTGTGATGTTTATTAATTGTTACTTTACAATTGCCAGCCTATGATCATATATCAACATTTTGTGAACGTCTGTTACCATGTTACTTTATCAAAACGCTCCAATGTCTTTATTTGTAACAAAAATTGTTTTATGCTACAAGATTTTGTTCCTTTAACAATTCTTTGATTTTTGGGAAATACAATATATATATAATGTTGTAAATAGATCACATTCAAGTTGGATGATACTATTTAAATTAGTCTTACAATGAATCCCGAATCTTTGTGTGAATTCTAAACACAATGTAGAATATTCTGTTAGCACAACGTTTGAAACAAAGTGAATCTGTTTACGGATTAACAAGGGATATGCTGTCTATTTCGTACCACGATTTAACAGACAATTTTTCCTTCTTGTAACAATACGGTTTTTTTTTATTGTGCAGTTTGAGTAAAAATATGAATTAGTTCAGGAAACATTACATTGAAAATTAAAGTTCCAAACTTACGGCAATTAATAATATCCGTAATTTTAAAGTATCGCCATAATTTAATTCAATTTTTTTGTGTATTATAGGATTTTAGAAAGTAATATGAATCACAGTCAAGTTTTTGCATCACAGAAACTTTCTGAAACATGTTGGGCCAAAGATTAAGCATTCTGTTGAGCCTGTACTTCCGTGCTGTGCCCATGTTACCGCGATATCTGTATCGCACTTCACGTTGTGGCTAATCAAATTTTCATATACGCTATTTGTTAAAAGCACAAATAAAAAATAAATTTTTCAAAAAATTGGCATTTCACTTCTACTGTTCTGTAACTATTATCTTGAACAAGACAGACTAATAGTTCGCTACAAACTGAAACATTACCAACATGCGTTACTGTCAATAAACTATAGTTTATGTTTGTAAGATGTCTTAAAAATAAAAAATGTGACAGAAATGATTATATTATATTCAATATGATACAGAAAAATAATCAAAAAAATAATCCCGATAAATAAATGTAACTTTTCGGAGTAGAAGTGTATTAGAATTTATCAGGTTAGTGAAGAGACCCTGTCCAACAGTATAGACTATTTACGAATTGTTGATGATGATTGTGATTTTGATTACGGTAGTAACAACGATGATTTGATTTTAATTATATTGAATAATACACATAATTTCAGTAAGGGGTAAACGCAATACACTCTGCCAAGTTCAAGTATTAGTATATTTTAAACGTGGTAGAGCCATGCTGCAGTTATATAGTAGTATAGTTATAGCACGTATGGGTCCGAAGACCGAAACTCGGTCAAGAATTTATTTCAATTTCTTTACTTCCATGTTATTATTTGACACACCCTTCCTTGAGTTTAATTGACAGACTGATTGGTTTATTGTTTCAGATCGTCGAAAATATCAACTGCGAAAGATACGGTCCTGTCGCATGTTTCGTTAAATTTCATATTAAAGGTCGTGAGGATCGCTCTGCGAAAAATCAATTCACGACCAAACTCATCGCAAGTCGTATGAAGTTGTTGAGATAGTTGGTCCGACCGTCGCTTCGTGAATGGCCTTCTTTACTCATGATCGTTGATTATTAATTATTTATTAGTATTAATTATCTATTACCATTAAGAAGCAAAAGAGAGAGAGAGCAACATTAAACATTTCTCAAACTGAGTACTTAATACAAGTAAGGCTAAAATGGTAATAATTCCGTAAATTATGCACAATAAAAGAAATAGACAACAAATGATACAACATTATGTGGAACAACATTAAAACACGACATACTTCAATTTTAGATCATAAACAATAATATTATGCATAATAAAGTAGACGTCAATAAAATCTTCCGACGCGATGGTGCCGGGGTTGTTATAAGAAGTTTATAGTTTTGTTTTACAATATTTTTATATTACGATGCGATAAAATTGTTTCATACTCATCAAAATCGTTATGAGTATATTACTATGTATGACAAAATCATAATGTTTTATTAGTTTATTAAAACTCCAAAATATGATAAGTTTTTGTTTCAAATTTACTTTCTGGATGCCGCCACTGAAGTATGTGGTGTAAGTAAGAGAACAAATGAAAGGAAAAGTAATACGTTGTGGTGGGATGATGAGGTACGGGTGGAAGTTGAATCAAAGAAGAAAGCATGGTTAGATTTACTAGCAACCAAAGCTGGTAATTTTTCTGGTATGAATGATGAGATTGAAAGAAAAAAGGCAGAATTTAGACGTCTAAATAAGAAAGTAAAAGAAGTTTTTGAAAGGAAAAAGAAAGAAAGAACGGATAAGAATGATAGAAGGATATCTGATAATTTCCAGGTTAACATAAAAATGTTCTGGAAACTCGTAGGAACTGCCAGGGGAAATACAAAACAGCCTATAATGAATGCTATAAGAGACGAGAATGGATGTATTCTGAATGATGAAGCTACGAATTTAAACAGATGGAAGGAATACTTTGAAAGCGTGTTTATGAGTAAAGTGTCGTCTGAATTAAATGAACTAGAAATTCCGAAAGAAGTGGAAAGGGGTATGGAGATAAGTGTAGATGAAATAATGAAAGCAATGAAAAGCATGAAAGCAGGTAAGGCAGCAACTCGAGATGCTAAGGGCTGGAGAGGGAGTGGTGGCAGACCTGCTGTACACCTTGTTTAACTAACTGATGTAAAGCAGTTATAGTACCAATATATAAAGGAAAAGGGTCACAGCAGGACTGCAAAAACTACCGTGGTATCTGCTTGCTTAGTATTGTGGGTAAACTGTATGCTAAGGTGTTAATTGAAAGAGTTATGAAAGAAACTGATGGAAAAATTTGGGATGTGCAAGCGGGTTTTAGAAAGGGAATGGGGTGTACAGATTAAGTCTTTTCCATGCGCATGATTGCGGAGAAGTTTTTGGCCAAAAACCAGAAAGTTTTTTGTGCGTTCATGGACTTGGAAAAGGCTTATGACAGAGTGGGCAGGAATGTGTTATGGCAAACACTGAACTCATATGGGTTGAGCGCTGGTTTGATACAGGCATTAAGGTCTCTTTATAGGAACTCTAGTGCTTGTGTCAAGATCAATGGGGTCTACTCGGACTGGTTTGGCATCCAAAAAGGTGTCAGACAGGGCTGTGTAGCTTCCACTTGGCTGTTCAACCTATTTATGGACAGGTGTTTGCAAACTTTGAAAAATGAAGAATGTGGGTTAAGAATGGGCGAGTTAACCGTCAAATGCCTTTTGTATGCCGATGATTAAGTCATATTTGCATCATCGGCGGCTGAGTTGCAAATGATGGTTACATTAATGAACTGGGAATTAAAAGAAAGGGGAATGAAAGTGAACGCAAGCAAGACGAAAGTGATGGTTTTTGAAAGAGAGGAAAACAAAACGGTATGTGAAATAAGAATAGAAGGAGAGTTAATTGAGCAAGTGGATGAGTTTGTGTATTTGGGATGTGTATTTAGCAGGGATGGTAGATATGATAGGGATATAGAACGACGAGTAAATGCAGGCAATAGAGTGAATGGGGCACTAAACTCTATTATGAAGAACCAGAATATGTCAAAAAAAGGCACGTATGGTAATTCATAATGCTGTGTTAGGCCCTACTTTAATGTATGGTAGTGAAAGCTGGGTGTGGCAGAAGAAGCACGAAAGTAGAATAAATACTGTAGAAATGCGGTCTATAAGGAGTATGCTAGGGTTGAATCTGAATGACAGGGTGAGAAATTGCGTGATAAGAGATAAATGTGGTATGCAAGATGATGTTGTGACCAGGATTAAGAAAGGAATGCTTCGGTGGTTCGGTCATGTAGAAAGAATGAATGAGGAAAGAGTGACAAAGCAAATTTATATGGCAGATGTGAACGGCCGAGTCGGGAAGGGACGCCCTAGAAAAAAGTTTATCGACCAAATTGGCGATATTTTGAAAAGGGGCCACGTTAGAAGTACCCTTAACCAACGAGCATGTATGCGTAGATATATGTATGTAAAGGAGGCGAAAGAGGTATGTCAGGATCGTGCCAAATGGAAGTCCGTAGTCTCTGCCTACCCCTGTGGGTGACAGGCGTGAGTGTTTATGTTTATTTTTATTTACTTTCTGTAGAATTTGTACACCATTAAGATTAAAAAAAATAATTCTTAATGACAAACGTACTTGTTAGGAAGTTCCGTGTATATTTAATCCCGTGGAAGTTTCGAGTTAAATAATTATATGCTGCCCATCACCTGTTTCAGTTTCCCTCTCTCGCCTCTTACGACACACTCGGAACGGGATGGGGAAGTGGATATTATTACACCGCCACTATAATGTTCGCTGTATATTGAGCCGTGGTAGCTCAGTGGCTAAGCGCTCGCTGTTAATTTCGCAGTACGTGAGCAGCCCGGGTTCAATCCCCCGGCACCAATTAAATAGTTAGTTGCAATTTTAAGTGCTAATTTACCACGCGCTCAGCTGTGAAGGAAAACATCGTGAGGAAACCTGCGTGTCTGAGAAATAAAAAAAATCCGAAGATATGTAAAATGAGAGGAGGCCAGTGCTCAGTGGGATGTATACAGTCCGTAACTTTAACTTTTTTAACAATACTGTTTATCGTTATGTACCGTTCAAGCGATCCAAATAAAAATACTTTAACATTTATAACATGAAATAAGTATAAAATTACTTGTCAGTTCGTGAATAATTAAAGTTAACATTTATGTCTCAAGTTGGTCTGGAACTTATAGTTCCCATATCCATGTGAGACTTGTAACAAAAAAAGAATGTGCAAATTGTGCTACTCCTTAGCTTGTTGTAAAAGGTAACTAATGGGACATTGGTTTTGATATTATTTAAGTGATGGGCTATCGCTTCTTTCAAATTTCTCCACCTATACTTAAAAAAAATTGGCTCAAAGTGAACCCTGGGACGCAGCTCTTTGACCTCTACCTTCTCCCTCGGAAGTGCAGGCGTGAAACATGCTCGCATTACTCGGGCACGAACAACAAACAATTGGAGAGCCAGCAAGATTGGCAAGCACACTAACATTTTGTAGGGCTAGCTAGCTACTTGCTCTATGATAGATTGGTTTCCCATTCAATATTTAAATTAAGACAAAATGATAAGATATAACCTTTTTTTTCTGACCCTACACTTACAAATATCATCAGAATAAGTTATACATCAGCTATTAGTTCTCATTTTTTTCTGGCCATACAATTTCTAATATCATAATAAGCTGTATATCAGCAATCTATACATGCATTTTGTATTTTGTAATTATGAGGCCTGTCTTTAATTTGTCTGTTTGTTTTCATTGTATTACAATAATTACTTTTTGTAGACCATTATTACTTTCAGATTATGTGTCCTCGTTTTCAGTTTTGTCCTTCATATGATTTAATGATTGTTGTTATTTTTATTTATCCAAAAAATGCCTAATAAATGCCTAAAATGACTTGTACTGTGATACCTCCAGACCTCTGAATAATTCTACATTTTGCACACATATTAGGGACCGATGACAATACAATATTTTTATGAGTATGAGCTAGTATTGTCACAACGATGATGAGCTCATTACATCTATGCGTGTTTTTTAAGTTTTTAAATTCTAATATAAGCTATAATATAGAGGACACACTAAGAATTAGAACGGAATTAGGTAAAAGGGCGTACCAAGTTGGCAGTATAAACATCTAGCTTCCTCCAGACATAAATACTTTGGGTTTTCATGTATGGAGAAATACAATGACGGACAGTAGAGCCAAAGATTCGAGACGTCTGGTACTGCAATTCTCAAACCGCCTGACAATCACAGCGATTTAGGCAAATCCTCCCTGCAACTGGGAAATCCTATGTCCAGCAGCGGACTTATTATATTGATGAAGACGATGACGAGGAAGAATCGCCTCCATATTATAACCTACTTACTGGTTTTCCACTATTTTTAAGAGGTTATAGAACAGAATAGAATCCACCACCTGGCCTCTGTCACTTTTTCTTGAAAACGTTATTGTTTTTCAGATAAACAAGTATCCTATTAATGTTTTTATATACCGCCAACCATGTTTCAACGTGCGAAGATATTTAATTGCAATTAAAATTCGGTCATTAGGCACCACCATGAATAAATTACTAAATTATAGAATTTAGTAATTTATATATAAATTATAGTCCCAGTTTCATAGTTAGTCTGGCTACGTTCAGTTTTTGAATATTAATTTTTGGTCCGATCTACGCAAAACGAGCTTACAGTATCATAAAGTCTTACAGTTGTATGCTTGGGTTTGGGTTTAATTTTGTTAATTATAGGATTCCAAGCATATGGCATCACTCTTCCATCTTCTCTATTGAAATTAGGATGTTTTTAATTTCAATAGCCTCGCTTATCATCCTTGGTAGGAATCGGTGTTCTTTTGCGAGGATTTGTGGTTTATCAAATTTAATGTAATGGTGGGGACGATCTTGAACATGTTCGCAGAAAGCGGGAAGTCTGCAGTCTGCGAACATGTTCAAGATCGTCCCCATCATTACATTTCATAAATCCAAGAGTCATTTTAAGTAGGCAGTAATGTCAGTATATGAAATAATATAATCGAAATAAAATAAAGTAAAAACACATTAAATAAATAACAGATTTATAACAATTTTATCGGTCAGTAGACAATCAATTTTGGCTTATCGTCGTCGTATGTGATAAAAATCTTTATTTTCATCTTATGTTACGAGCTTTAAAAATGTGATTTAAATGCCCTTAATTATCTTCTAACTGTTTATACACAATATACGTAATTAAAATATAGTTTTATTCACTGACGTAACGTATGAGAAAGTGGAGCAGATCAGTGAATAGCATGTTCTTATTTGAAATAAGATTTCTATTATTCATTTGAAATGTTTCAGCAGACAAAACTTTCCAGCTTAGTGAGGACTATTACGAAGGATATAAATCTAATTAATTTTTCTTTCTCTGGAGGCAGTACAACGACTAACGTTATATGGTCCTGAGGCTAGTTTCGTTTTGCTTTTGTCTTGTATCAAAATCTATTTTATTTTTCTTTAGACGGTAATTACGGTATTGTTTAATACCTATGATAAATAAAAGGTCTTCCAAAGTTTACCAAATTTGTTACATGGATTTATATTAATTTTTAATAATTTTGCGAACTTGCGACCTCGAAAGAAATATATTATGTAATAATTATCGTAATTATATACAAACATATACTCTCGCGCTTGTGACCCATAGGCTAGGCAGAGATTGCGGACTTCCATTTGGCACGATCCTGACATGCCTTTCTCGTCTCTTACATGTTCGTTATATCTAAGCCCAGTATTATGGGAGCCCGCGTCCGCGGTGTCATGACTCATAATCACGTCGGGGTCACCACTGTAGAGTTTATACTTGGGAGCGTAATCAACAACATAAGGTTAGGAAATCGCACTTTTTATTTAACAAAAAAAATTCCATATTCATATGCGAAATGTTAAGAGCGCTAATCTACCAATCAGACGTTGGTAATAGGTATTGTATTTATCGGTACGTGAACTAAAATATGATTTTATTATATAATGTATATATTCATAATAACCATTATATTATAATGCAGAAAAACAATAAATTTCTGTAGCTTTTATGTTATCTTTGTTATGATTTTATTCAGACATTTTACAAATATTACTTTTACTAA